CGCTAGAGCGGCCATCTTCGGTATCCTTCTGTCGACATGTAATTAGCTGTATATACACGTTCGTATATATGTTACTATTCGATTAATGGATATCTCTACGAGCGAGAGGGTTGCTTGTTGGATTATGGTACTGTGGTATGGTCGTTGTCAACTTTGATTATAACTTCATATCGTCAAAAAGCCCCAACCTAACTCGTAGAGAAAAGTAGTCTTCAAATATGAGAGATCCCTATAGCCATAACATCGAAGATTTCAGACGTTTGACTTTCTGAGTTTCCATATCTTCACCGCCAGAAGCCAAAAATTTCCATATTTATGTATATATATATATATATATATATATATTACATCTCTTTCTCTTAAGGTTTCCAAGTCAAGCGGTCGAGCTAGCTGTCTCCCTGCAGATGCTGGTTATGGTAACCTTATTCAAAAAGGAAAACTATGGGAAATTTCTACACAATATTCCGAGCTGGTAAAGGGTATGCGAGCATCTTTGTAATTAGATATTATCAGTGTACTCTCTTCTCCTGACGGTGGTGGGAATGATGAATGATGATTATGTCTTTATTTCGCAGAAGAAGATCAAAATGTAAGAGAAAACCAGTGGACTCTTTCAACAACCCCGCCGGGACTCATGAAGGAATAAAGACAGTGGGGGCGGATAATCTTTGCGACTTCTCTACAGATTCTGACCTCTGCATTTGCATAGTAACGTGGAACATGAATGGAAAGGTTGAAGTCGCATCCTTTTCTGTCTGTTGATATCTATATTCTGAATTTGATGTTGATCAGTACAGTTCATTAGTATATCATATCTTATCCTCCTTTTTTATGAAGGTTTCGTATGAAGATCTGGTCGAACTGGTTGGGAGCAACCGAAGGTTTGATCTACTTGTGGTTGGTTTGCAAGAGGTGCCTCGAAAAAATCTTGCGAGATTGTTGCAGGATGCTCTAGTTGAAAGTCACGAGTAAGCAAAACCCTTTCTCTCTCCTTCCTTTTCCTTTTCTTCTGTTGAAGCAGTCTCTTGGTTGTCTCCCTCAGCAAGAACTCACTGTATTGGCTTCGTTCAAGCATATGTTTTTTGACTGCCTTAATGGTAGTAAATCTTTATCCACAAGAAACCATAAATGATTGGTAGGTTTACATTGTTTGCTTGTCAGATTGTTAGGGAAGGCAATTATGCAGTCTCTGCAACTATATGTGTTCGGACCAAAGAATTCAGACCTGATCACCAAAGGTAGAGCCTGTCCTTTTGGTGTGAAGTTCATTTTTTTTTTTCCATTGTCAAGACAAAGATAGAGCTTAAAATGGGATTACTTATCTCTTTTTCAATTCGGAGATGAAGAACTTACGGTGGATAGCATTCTGTTGGAGGCTGTGGGGGAATAATCAGGAGAAAGAAAGGGCAGTAGCAATCCCGCATTAACTACAAAGGATTCGAATGTGTTTATCACTTGCCATCTTCGGGTAATCCCTGTTTTATTCAATTATCTTCAATATCAATTGCCATTAAGCAGACAAATGGAGCTTGGGTCCAAGTTTTCCTTGAATTTTCTTGGCAAGAAAGTCAATGTTTTGATGAATTATTAATCAAAATCGGTGCCAACAACAAGACCCAGCCTAATATAGTCTACAACCGTGAGACCAATTCAAGATAGCAAAGTTGCTACACAAAATCCATTTAAAAGGCCCATAAATGCAATAGAGCTACCCTTAGACCAAAGTTAGAGCCCATAGAGATTTGTGTATCGAAGTTTCATTCGAAGCCCAGAAAAAGTATGGCCCACTGATTGATTTGATTGATGTTGTCATGCTCTCCTTGCAAAGCAGCTCATGCTCGGAATGTGAAGAGAGAAACTCACAGTGCAGGCACATATCACACTCTCTCTCTCACAAGTATTGGAACCTTACGCCAGGCCAGCCCAGATCACAGTATGGTTGGGAGATCTCAATACAGGCTACAAGGCATCAATGCACATCCAGCCAGAAACTTAATACAAAGAAACCTTCACGGAGTCAGTAGTCCATCTTGCCCATTTTTCTCAACGTATCTTTCATTCATTAGTTTTCATCTGTTTTACTTTTGTTGCCTGCTGCTACAGCTGCTCACAAGCAAAGATCAACTCCTGCAGGAGGCCGAAAGAGGGCAGATTTTCAATGGATATTGTGAGGGAACACTCACATTCAAACCAACGTACAAGTACAATATAGGAAGCAGCAACTACGATACAAGTTACAAGGTGCATGCTCTCTGTCACATTCACTCTTTAAAAAACAAAGGATTCTTTACTAAAATATCTTCCTAAATGAGATTCAATTATTTTCCCCTCACCTCTCTATGTTTCTTTCTGCTTTTGACAGGTACGAGTTCCATCATGGACTGATCGAATCCTGTTTAAGATCGAAGATCCTGACAAAATCAGCGCAACTTTGCACTGTTACGAATCGATTGATGACATTTATAGTTCTGACCATAAGCCAGTGAGAGCCCACCTTTGTCTCAAAGTCTGCAAATATTAGCTACCAGTCACAACACCAACAGCAAAGTTCCTAGCGAAAGGAAAACAAAAAATCCCAGTACTTCTATTTGATCCTGTAAATTTACCTCATTATTGCTTCACATCAAACGAGTTCTATTCTCTTTCTGGCAAGTTAACACTACTGTCATTGCACAATGCAGTCGAATGGCTGCCCCATGCTTATTATTTGACTTTAAAAATCAATTTTATTATTTATTCATTAAAAAACTAAATTATTACATCAACCATTGATATTTTTTTTATTTATAACATATATCATGAATTCGGTGACATTGTTCTTTGCCAAAATTGTTTTAGTTAAATATGTTAATCTATTTAAAACCTACACTTGTTATGCCTCTATCAAAAAAGATAGAATATTTTAACTCTTACAGTAGGATACTGACCTTAAAGCAAAGCAAGTGAGTATAGATATTGAGATGAACCCAATGTATTTAAAGAGCATCATATAAGTTTGTTATTGTCAATAATTAAAACTAACTCTATTACAATTTGTTAATAGGGTAATATAATTTATTTAGTATCTATATGATTTTAATGTTGCCAACAAGTGATGTTGAATTTAAAAGTTACACCCTAGTATGTTGGGTTATGTACATGCTAAGTAAATAATATTGATTGTTTAATAAATGATTCACCATTCTTTATTGAGAAAAATATTTAAGCAATTTTAATATAATTGTTAGACTCATGAAATCCGACTAATACCTTTTTTAAAAGCAGTTTTAGAATTATATTATTTACATTAATATTATATATTAGTGCTTTTGAAAAAAAAACATTTTCTGAATGTAACAAGAATTACAATCATGAATAGGTCTTGCATGAATTGGATATAACAGTGGAAATTATCTATCTATAAAACTCATGAGGAATATGACATAGTGAAAAGACCGATTAGTAAAGATTGTAATGAAAGAAGCCTCATTAATTATTCATTTTTTTGCATAAGTCTATTGTAATGTGTTGATGGATATTATTGTAATGAGAAAACAAGATTTTTTAGTTAATTTAAGAAACTAAATAATAATATTAAATTAAATAAAACTTCAAGTAAAATATTAGTATATGACATGGGCTTGGACTAATAGTTGCAAAGAAAGATCCCTAAGAATTTCATGCATGTTCTTCTTTTGAATTTTATAAATAAGTCTTGTTGGAC